AGGGAAGGTGTGATACGTAGGGGAAGAACAAAAAGGGAAAAGAAAAAAATGTGAGAGAATGAAAAGATGAGAATAAAGTGTTTGTAGATGGGGAGGGGAGGAGGGGGGGAAGGGAGGGCAGAGGTAAGGGGAAAAAATGAGAATCAAGACTTGCCATGTAAAGGTACATGATCCCAACAATGAATGTAACTGTACTGTATCCCTAAATGTACCAATAAACTCAATAAAAAAAAAAAGGGCTGTTAAGACGTGTCTTGGACAGTTAGCAAGACTTATTAAACTCAGTTTCAAACAGAAATAGAGATTATAAATTTGATTGTAAAACCTGATGAGAACTTTATGAGAAAGAAGGTAATAGACTAATCTCTCTCATGAACCTGTATGCAAAAATCATAAGTAAACATTCAGAGATCTATATAATGAATTTATAAAAGGATATGACATATAATCCAGCTTGAGTTTCTTCAAAGTGTGCCACTAGTTTAATATTTAAAAAATTAGCCAGAATGGTGGCACACAACTATAATCCCAGTTCTCAGAAGACCAAGGCAGGAGGGTTGTTGCCTGGGCTACACAGTAAGACCCTGTTTCAAATAAAACAAAAAACAAAACCAACCAATGTAATTTACTAAATAGGAAAAAAAGGAAAGGTAAAGAGATCATCTCAATACAGAGACAAAATTATTTAACATTTATCCTTGTTTTTAAAAACCAAGAAAACAAGGAGCTAACAGGAAATCGCTTAGTCTGATCTTATAAAATCTTCAAAAGCTTACAGAAACATCATACTAAATGGTGAGAGAGACAATCATGCCGATAATTATTACTTCTATTCAACATTATACTAGACCTATCCAGAGCATTAAAGTGGAAGAGAAATAAAAGCAGAAAGAAATGTAAGAAAATAAAAAGCAAAAAATATTACCATTATTTCCTGAAAACAAATTATATACATAAAAAATCTTTTTAAAAACGTATGAACTATCAGAATCAATAAATTAATGTAGCAAGATTGCAGAATACAATATCAATACTGAAAAAGCAATTGCATATCCATATACTAGCAACAAATAAGAGATAAACAAAAATCAGAAGAAGTTATTTATATTAGTACAAAGTAATATCAAACACCTAGTAACAAATCTAACAAAATACATGTGAGATGTCTATACAGAAAACTACAAAACATAATAAAAAACATTTAAAGAAAACCCAGGTGAAGAAATTGATCACATTCTTAGAGCAGAACACTCAATCTTATAAAGATTTCATTACCTAATTGACTTATAGATTTAACACAACCCCAACCTCAATCTCAGCACTGTTGTCCCCCCGAAACTGACAAGCTGTTCCTAAAATATATGTGGAAAAAATAGCCTATGCAACTTCGAATAACAAGCCGGAGATACCACAGCCTTTTATAACACTGTAATACTTAAGGCTTACCCATTGGCATAAGGATACACAAAATGAACCATGGAAATGAATAAAAGTCCAGAAACAGACTCACATGTCTGTCACCTGCTTTGTGACAGAGACAACACTGCAAATCAGTAAGGGAAAGATAGTGTTGTCAGTAATTGGGGCTGGGTCAACTGAATATCCATGAGAAATCGTGTTCCTTTAGTCCACATAGAAAATCAAATTTATATAAATTATAAACTGAAATATGAAAGGTAAAACATTAAAACTTTCAAAGCAAACAGGACTGTGAACTTGGAATAGGCAAAGATTTCCAAACAGAACACAAAAAGCTCTCATTGTTAAAAGGAAAAATAATAAATCAACTATATCAAAATTATAAACTTTTTTTGTACCAGGGATCGAACTCAAAACCTTGTGCTTCTGAGGCAAGTGCAGTGCCACTGAGCTAAATCCCCCGCCCCTCAAAAATCCTCAAAATTATAAACTCTTACTTACTTAATTTATTTATTTGTTACCGGGGATCGGACTCGGGATCTTGTGCTCCTGCTTGTGAGGCAGGTGGTGGAACCACTGAGCTAAATCCCCAGACCTAAATTTTTACTTATTAAGAGATAAGATTAAGAGAGTTAAAGAACATCTCCTAAAATGGGACTAAATAATTGGGATTTACATATTTCAACCACAGAATCTGAAATGAAAAACTTCTACAAATCATTAAGAAAAAGTCAGCTCAAGCTCTCATACACTGCTGGTAGAAATGTAAACTAATATAACCACTAAAAAATTGATTGGCAGTTTCTACTATGACCCGAAAACTCTGCTTCTAGGTTCTAGGTATAAATTTCCAATAGAAATGTGTGTTCTTTTTTTTTTTTTAAATCTGTATGCTGGTTACATGAGATGTGTTCATTTGGTGAAAACTTCATTGGGCAGTATTCTTGGGGCTTGGGTACTTTTCTGTATTTATAATATGCTTCAATAAAATTATTTTTCATTTTTATTTTTATTAGAACATGTTTGCAGTACAAAATGATTACATTCATTGTGGGGAATTGATACATGTACCTAACACATTTTAATTCATTTTACATCCCCTTCCCCTTCCCTACCTACCCTTTCTCTCCAGCTCTTGGTCCACCTTCCCATTTCCAAAAAATAAAATTATTTTTAAAGGAATAGCCATACAACATGATAATTTAGATCTATTGTTTGGAAAACTTACAAATTGTAATTTGTGTTTCTTGTTCTTGAAATTCAGTTCTTTAGAGAATTGAAGCCAGACTAAATTGAAAATATTTATTGGACTTACTGCCTAAGACAGAATGGTTCTTTTGACAGTTTTAGTGATAGAATACCTGGAATTGAAAGCCAGCCCTATCATTACTGTGTGACATTGGGGAAATTATTTAACCTTTTTGTAGTTGTTTCCTTGTCTGTAAAACAGAGAAATTAATAGTGGCACCTATCTTACAGGGCTGCTATAGCTCTTATGCAGAAGGGTTAGTGCAGTTTCTGGCACATTGTAAGCACTAAGTGTTCACCATTTTTTAAACGTTAATGTTTGCTTAATAAATATTATTACTTTGCAAGAGTTAGTTTCCACAGAAATGGAAGAACTGAAGAAGATAAAATGATTACACCCCACAGATTTAAAGCCCTGGAAAGCTGGCCCTAGGTCAGTGACCCACACATGCCATATGGTTGGTAAATGTTTGTTACTGATGCTGTTCTGATGGCTACCAGGACCAAGAATTGTATTTCCATTTAATTTACATCTGGATACTAGTAGGTGGGAAGACTTACTATTCAACATGAAGGTTTGATTTGAGTGCTAGTGTTATGGCTTTTATCGAGATGTCCTCCCAAAGCCTCATGGGGGTCACAGATGGGGCTTTTCAAAGGGAGCTGATCTAAAGTATGAACAATGTGATTTTGGGATTGACTCATGATATAATGCTAGGATTAAAGGTGCCACACCCTGGGTGTGAATTGCCTGGATAGGATACAAGAGACAGAAAGAGGGCTGCTGCTGTCCCTTGCTGCTTGTTGCATTCTGCCTTCCACCTGCCTGCTCTGCAATACCCCTCTGCCATTCCACCCTGCCTTGAAGCCAGCCAACTATGAACAGAAATCTCTACAAATTGTGGGCTACATAAACCTTTCCTCCTTTAACTTTTTTTTTTTTTTTTGTACCGGAGATTGAACTCAGGAACTTATGATGCTTGTAGGGCAGACAACAGCAGCACGCACTGAGCTGAATCCCAGGCCCTCCTCCTTTAACTGTGAGTGTGTGGTATTTTGCCTCAGCAACAAAAAAAAGTAACTAAGACAGATAGAAAGAGCTTTAATGGTAATAGGCCATGAGTCTAGTCATAATAAACGGAATGGTCAACAAAAAGTTAAAATAACAAGATCCCAATGATAAATGTAATTGTACTGTTTGCTTTAAAAATAGCAATAAACTTAATGGCGGAAAAAGTTAAAATAATGTGGGCATGCAAGCCTTAGGAATAGCATGGTGTTCACTGCCCACAAGAACAGAGATAGTGAAATATAAAGAGCTACGCGTAAGAAGCCAGGTGTTGTGGCAAACACCTGTAACCCCAGCACTTCAGAGACTGAGGCAAGACTACCACGAGTTCAAGGCCAGCCAGGGCTACATAGTGAGTTGAAGGTCAACCTGAGCTACATAGTGAAACCCTGTCTCAAAACACAAACAAATAAAAATTTAAAAAGCTATGCGTTAAGAAGAAAACAATTCATACTGCCATCTCAGATTTTAAATTCATAATGAAACAAAATTTTAGATGACCATTAATACTTTGACAATACAGGTATTTTTTTTCTCCTAAGAAAAGGAAGATTTTTAAAATGCATAATTTATATGTTGAATCAAAGGCTCTTCAAATCTCAAATGTCCAGGTTCTATTAACTCCCTTATCTATGGCATATAATCCCACTCACTAAAACTAACCAAAGCAGAGTTTCCTTTGAATGTACTATTGCTATGGTTCCAAAAACTTGGAAAGTTCTCGGATTTAATTTTTGAGGAGTGAAAATTGACTGGCAGCTTCATAGAAACACTCCTCATCCTCTCTCAACCAACTAAAAGACCAGAAGGCTATTTTGAGATGCTGTTACTGAACTGGGACTATTACTATTCATGCTTATGCTGTGTTTCTGAAAAGCTCATAAAATGAAAACCAGCCATTGAATAATCGATGGCACAAGAAAAGGAATGCATTTCTTCTGATACTGGCTTATTACAGGTTGAATCTACAAGACTCTGAGCCTCTGAGGTACTGTACACCTGCAGGTAAACATCAGTAGGCTCCTCCTACTCACCCTGTAACCTGGGTTTAATCCTCTCTCTGCACAGGCGGAGTTAGCGGACAGCTCGCCTCCGGGCCCCGCCCCGCCCCGCCCCGCCCCTGGCCCTACCCCTTTCCCCAGCTCACAGAGGCTAGGCGCTCCGCCACCCGGACCGCACATACCAGGGGCGGGGCTCACCCCTTGCCCTCGGGGTCTTCCGTGCTCCACCAATCAGCGAGCGCCCTGTTGGCTGTCCGCAGCCTTCTGCGCCCCTCCCTCTCCCGCCGGTCTCCGCGCCTGCAGTTCAAGATGGCGGGATCTAGGCGAAGTGGTCCACAGGCCAGAGTTCGGCAACTTTCCTGCAGCCTGCTTCTGCTTTTCAGTCACTTCGTCAGGAGCGATGGCACGGGAGGTGACCCTGCGGCCGCTGGCTCCCCAGGCACCCCGGCCACGGTGGTACATCGCCGTTTCGAGTACAAATACAGCTTCAAGGGGCCGCACCTGGTGCAGAGCGATGGGAACGTGCCCTTCTGGGCCCACGCGGGGAGTAAGCCGGGGTAGGGGGCGGGGGGCGCGGGGCCCCTCCCCGCCTCTACCGTCTTTCGCCTTCTGTCTGGTGTGCTGAGGCCGGATTCCAGCCGCTGCACACCATACGTACTGTGGAGGGGACCCTGGGCAGCTCCTCCTCTCGGTCCCTATGGCCCCCGAG